GACTCGTAACCTCTCTGGTGGATCTCCCAGACCTCGACACACCAAGAAGATCCACTTCATCAAAAATATGAAACAGTACGACACGAGAGGCAGCAGGTGGGTCACACTCATTATTCTGTAGTTGCAGGTTTTTTTTAACAAGAAATATAAGTTTAATATTAAACAGTAAAACAAGTAATATAAACTTTGTAAAAGTGGAATCAATGGCGTGTCTGGTAAAGTAGTTTTACGTATTTTTATATATGTTTCATGTGCCTCACGCTTAAGTGTGGTGGTTTCACCTCACTGCAAGACTGATATCTCAGGAAAGGTAAAGGTTGAAAGTGGCACACATCACATTGTTCCACTGCCTCAGCCAAATCGATATCGAGACGTAGACAATGTAGCAGCATGTTGATCCCCGCTGTTCACAGCGTGTACAGTTACAGCACCTAAGCACAGCAAGGTCAAGGCAGTGGACATGTGCTTTTGTGAACTGTCTGTGAAGTTTAAAAGTTCACTGTGTTAAATATTTCTCTGATTTGTTTTTTTTTTTGGGTGGGGGTGTGTATATTTTCTATTTATACTAATTTAAATCAATGTTTGTTTGTAGGATTGTGTTAAAGGTCCCATGGGTCATAACTCAGATATATCCGTTATGGCTCAGTCTCTAACAATAACCCTTTACAAACTCTGCTGACTTGCAGAAGTGTGCTGCCTTTACTCCACAGCGGGGATGTGAACTCAGCTGTTGGTGTGTCTTGTGGAGTTTGGACAGTGTCATTCTGTTCAATTCTTCCTCTATTGTATTCTATTCTTGTCCTTCCTTGCAGGTTGTATAAATCAGACCTCCGGTTCAAAAGAACACAGGACAACTTGGCAGATAATAATAGACTGAGGGCTGGTTGTTTAAGAATAGATCCAGCTAAGAGCAGCAGAGCTGGTGTTTGTAGTGCAGCCGTAGACTGGATATAAGAAGTGGACGTAGTCATCGTGACGTCACCCGTCGGTTTGTGGACTGTCGTTTTGAAGCCTCGAGTTTGGCCGATAGGATGTGACCGTATTTGGATGAGACGGTTGAGCTAACAGCCATGTGCAGAGCTCGTTAACGTGCTTAGCTAGTTGCATCTGTAATTCACGTTAACTGTCATTTTAACAGGGCTGATAAACTTTGTCTATCGAACAACAGTATTAAAACTAAATGTACACACCAGAGAGAGTCAACAGCCAGCTCCTAATAAGATTTTTCAATGGCGCTGGTTAAATTTACACTGTGGGTATGAGTTAGTCTAGCCTGATTCGCAGGTTGCCATGGTAACGACTTGTCAATCATAGATAATCCCTCCCTGAAGCAAACTCTGCTTTATGGTGTATGTTCCTCTAAATGGGACCATAATTTACTAAATGAACATCATGTTGTATTGAAGAAGACTTGAAACTAGCGACTGAGACCATAAAGTCATTGGTAAAGTGTTTACTGAGGTAATAAATCAGGTGAGAAGTAGGGTCATCGGACTTCTTTTTGCACCCAGAAGAGTCGCCCCCTGCTGGCCGTTCAATAGAATGCAGGTTTAAGGGACTTCCGCATTGGATTCACGTCTCAGACCGGAAGCTTTCCGCTTGACTTCAGCCAAGTCACCATGTCATCACGGAGAAAAGACAGCAGCTAACAGAGTTCAGTAAATGTTGGAGCTCTCCTGCCTCAGAAATGCTGCTGTTGAGCCTCCGGGTTGTAACCCTCTTTTGGGTCATTGAAGCCCCTGCTTCCAGCAGTGCTCTAATTTTCAGTGTTGTGGTAGTTAAAGAACAGTAGGAAAATCATTACAGTCAACATAAAAAAAGGTTGATTGTCGTCTGTAGATCCATAAATATAGCTAATGTAGATTAAGTAGCTTCTTATGAATTTACAATATCAATTTAGGCTCATATTGTCCCATCAACATGGTTCTTGATAATCTCCTCTATCGTTTCAAATACAGATATTTGTCATATATTCAAAAAGTGTGGACATGTAGTGAAAATAAACTATTTTTAAAATCTAAATTGGGTACAATTTTGTCCATTAAAAACAGTCCATAAGTACCACTTATGTGCCTGTTGATAGTATTTCTGAGTAGGCTAACTAACCTAAAAACACTTTTAAAGAATGTTATGTTATAAATAACTATGACACAAACTTGTAAATAAGGGGAGAGAGAACTGAACAAAATCAGGCTACAGTTAAAAAACACTGCTCTACAGCATATCTTGTGGGAACCGGAACGTTACCGAGATAAATAAAATTTAACAACATAAAGTCACTGGTTACAGTTAATCTAGTGGGCATGGCTGAAGTGTCTCACCCTTTTAGTTTATTTTGATTTGTTTTGGGGGACAATTCGTAGCTCAGTTGTGACAACCCCTCGGTCAGGGGTCCATTCCCTACGGTGTTTCTCTGTTGTTTTTCTTTTAGGTGATCGTGGAATAGTGTGCCCCCAGTGTTATGAAATGTGGGGTAATAAATTGATGTGTGAAGGAGACAGAGTCCAGCAGGCCTGTTCTGATGCATCTGCTGTTTCCACTGATCTCCCTGGTGACTTCCTGCTCTTCACTTTCCCATGCATCCTAGGGAAGTGTGTGTGTGTGTGTGTGTGTGTCTCTCACTGGTACACACAGCTAATCTGTCTCATGGGATGGATAGAGGAGGCAGAGCACCAGGGACAGAAGAGGACAGTCAGTGTTTCACAGGTTCTAGGGATAGTTTTGATTTATTCACAGCAGACAACTACATGTTTAGCTCTCGTGAGAACTAAACTTAATTTCCTTTTTGGCTCATTTGAATGATAAATCACTCTATAAAACAGTTGGAATGATTAAGCCACAACATGAGATTGCTTGTCTCTCTGTTTATTCTAGGATTAAAGTATATTGAATTCTCTACCCCGTTGGATCCTCATAAAAAATATACTGTATGTGTTTGACCAGGATCATGTAATGCTTGTGAAAATAACCGCAGTTGCATGAACTACTAACTGGGGCCTTTCTTCTTCATAGGTTTATCACAAACAAACTACAGTATAGTAGAGTAGGATAAAACTACATCAAAATTGGTAGCTGCAGGTTTAAAAATTAAAAAAGATCCGATACTGTCCTTTAGTCTGATGTCAGGAAGTAATGTGAACTGAGATAAAATCAGGTCTCTTCACATCATAAAAAGAGTAGATAAGAAAACAGATCAAATAATTTAATTTCCCGCTGATTATTGAAAGTTGACTATATTTACTTACAACCCCCCCCCCCATATGTGGAAATGCATCTATTTTATGTACCTGCTTTATAGCTGGGGGGGGAGGGGCATTGGCTCTCTGACTTCAATTACGATGATCTTCACAGATGACATTTATTCAAGGAAGGTCAAATGTCAATGACAACTTGACTTGAAGACGTCTGACCTCTCCTCCAAGAGGCTTCTTGAATCCTGAACTGAAGAAGCCTCTTCTTTGTGATAAGAGATGAGATGAGGGATGAGAGGCGAAGCATCTTGAAGTATCTTCAACAAAGTCCGGTTACCCTAATTTTAACCTTCTTTGGATTTGTTTTGACATTTAACTCAAAACCGCTAATGTCAACCTCATGGTTGTTCTAGAGGAAGCAGTTGTTCTGCGCCACAGTGGTGGACAGACTGATTGTCATCCCTAGACCCATGCCACTAGCATGGCTGTAAACATCCAACTTAAAATCCATCCAAAGAACACATTTGAAACATGACAAGTAGTGTTGATTAAGGTCACTGAAACACTGAAAATAACATTGAAGTTTGTAGTTAAGTTGTGCAGTCTGGCTAGCAGATGATAATAACCCCGCTAGCTTGCAGTTGTAATTGATAAAAATATGAAACAATATTAAAGTTTGCCATAGTAGGACAACACTGTCAATACACAGATCAGCATTCGTATGGAAGCCCAGTATTCATGTGACATGATGTTTTGACCTGTCATTAGGCCATGCACAGAGGACTATGCCATCATAAATCTACTGAGCTCTCTGACAGACAACACCATTCTCTGGCCCTGACCTAATGTACCTAATGTAAGCTGCTCGGCAGCTTGACCTGGCCTTGTATCTACATTGTATCTGCACAAGTGGCTTAGGTAGGGCTTGCCCGCTGGCTTGATAAGCAGTATCATCTTAATGACATGACCGCTCAGTAGTCCAGCCGCTATCACTGCTTATCTAACTCCACCAGTCTTACAAATTATTACTAGTTATATCAGAAAATTTGTCGCACCATTCTCTGACCCAGTGCACCTTAAGACTTGAGCCCCACACACTCAGCACAACCAATGAGGGTTTCCTCCCTCATCTTGTATTTTATTTCGACATATTGTTAAATCCAGGTTATGTAACTACTTTGGTGGATTTACTGCTCTCTCTCTGCCAGCATTCTGATTAACTGTGGAGCTGCTTTGGAGTCTTAGTTTGATTCAAATTGGAAATTGTTAACATTTGCTTCTGTTGCTCTTCCCTCTGACAGTCACAGGATTGACTTGATGTTATTTTTGTGGTCAGCCTCAGTTCTCAGTGGAGCTCAAACAGTGTGTGGCCTTTGTGCTTTTAATGTTTTAATGCCATCAGGGGAACACGAGGTCAATGATTTGAGGTCTTCCAGAGCTTGCACAGAACTAGTGTGTATAAATAGAAAGTCAAACGATCAGTCACATAAGTGTGTGTATGTTTTCACACACTGAATAATCTTCCAGCCTCTTTGGTTCCTGAGCCAAAGATAATGACTTTAAACATTTTCCTCTGAGACACAAACCAGGCTCTGCTCCATAGGGGTTTTTACTCCAGAGGATTATAAAAAATACACTCACACACACATACTCTGTTCCCTTGAAACCCCATTAAAACACATCATTGTTAAGCAGAGTCTCTCTTAAAGGAGCAGGTGGTCCATTAGAAAAGTGTCAAGTGTGTGTGTTCAAGTGTGTTGCCAAAACATTCAGGTCTCTGCTGAGGAGAGATGATCCTTTTTTAAAAAAAAACATAGTTTCATATTTTGACCTGACTGTTGTTGTGGTCCTGAGCACAGCACTTCCACTGGTTTCATTTCCACTTTCTGAAAATATGCTCACTTTATAGCTCTGTGACGTACTACCAGATGTCTCAAATGTTTTCAGTACAATTTTATTGAGTGTGAACCTGAGAAAACAAAGGTTTTGTTTTTTCACAATAAACATGACTCTCTATTAGCTAACCCATAAACATAAGCTGCCCTTTAGTCATCAAACGTGTTTACTGAAGATCAAAAACAGGTTCAACATGAGACTGGAACATCAGGTTAAAAGGAACAATCATTTTAGTTCAGTTATGATATTTACCCAAGAGGAAGCCAATAGAAGTGTGAATGTTACACATGCAAAATACCATCCAAAATACAATAAAGGGTCATTATGCTAAATAACAGCAATAAATGAGTACAATCAGAACAGAGCACGCTTTGGAGTAGGACTGCAGTATCGTGATTCATTGTCCATAAACCTTGGTAACAATCAATATACAATATCTTTTTAAATGCAACATGACTTTCTGTCCTCACAGGCGAGTTCTTATTAATTCTTTAGTCACCATCATTTTCAGTATAATCTATAAGCTCTGTGAGGTACTACCAGATGTGTCATATGTTTTCAGTACAATTTAGTAAGCGTGAACCTGAATTGCTAATAGCAATACTCCTGCCTTTTAGTCATCAGACATGTTTACTGAAGATAAAAAACAAGTTCCAGACTGGAACATCAGGTAAAAAGGAAAAACCGAATCAATTACCATAGTTTAGTTCAGTTATATTTACAGAAGGGGAAGGCAATACAAAATGCAATCAAGAGTCCATATGATAACTGCAATAAATTAGAACAAGGGTAGGATAGGGAGGCGGAGAGGTGGTTTATGGTATATCTGAATTAAGGATGTTTATTGCACATGCAAGTCTGTATCTCTGAGCAGAGGGGAGGATGTCTTTAACAAAGCAGGCTTTGGAGAAGGGCTGTGCAATATCTCCTAAAAATCAATATCATGATTCATACTCTTAGTAACAATCAGTAAACAGTATATTTTTAAATGCAGCTGTGCTCAGGACTTTGTCCTCAGAGGAGCAAATATGGTGAGTAATATCAAACTAATACAGTAATCAAACTAAAATATGCTATACATTTATGGCTTCTGTTAAGTGAGGTACATAGTGACATTATTTTAACACCGAAATAACATGCTTCAACCTTCAGACTATGGACTCCTTTACTGCTGCGGGGTGCAGTTGAAGCGAACTTCAGGGTTAAACCCCGTCTATACGGTCAGCTGCTGCTGGGAAACTAATCTCTGAACTTTGAACTCAGGAAATTAATGCTTTTACAGCTTCATGAGAACCAAGCATAGTGTAGCTCACAAATTACTGCTTACTTCCACAGCTAGCAGGGCCGATTTATGAGATGGACTGTTGTTGAGTGATGGTATTTGCTGTATTTAAGGTCAAGGTGTCGTTTTTGGTCACTTTAATTAATTGCTCAGCCTTTCGTGTTTGTTTTGTTGGTTAAAAATGTCTAAGAAGGACGGCCACTGCTCAAGAGTGATTTCACTGCCGGCCTTGACAGTGTTGCCTGTTGATTCCTGTTTTTGTAACTATAAAAAGACAACATAACCACTAATGTGTGTGTTTGTTTGTGTTTCAGGATCGTGATGATCTGTGCCAAGAGATCTCTGTGTGCTGCCTTCTCTGTTCTGCCCTACGGGGAAAGTTTCTACCTCAGGTAATCAACACACACCTGCACACACACGTTTTGCTGGCGTTTTGTGTGCGTCAGGCAGGATGACAGAGTCGAAGAAGGAGAGCTTAGGTCACAGAAAGAAGGGGGGAGGATGTGATATCCTCACTTGGAAATGAAGTAAAAGGAGAGGGAACAGGAGGAGGAGAGAAGGAGTATGGGAGGAAAAGCTGTATGTCTGGAGGAGGTTGTGACAAACAAACAAAGAGGAGGAGCTTTGGGATTATTTTCCCCTGTGCCTCAGAGCCCCCTGACTTGGCCTGAGGACTTTTTGGCACACACACTGACATAATCACATATAAACTTCCCTACAGATACCACACTTAGGTCTTTCTCAGCACACTTACAGATAAACATGGAGCAGAACGTACCTTTTGTCATGTTTTCCTACTCGCTCTGGCTCTAACACACATACACAGAAAGTCAGATAATGCGTTTAAACACACAGATAATACAGATGTTATTAAAGTCATGTAAACGTACCCTAATCATTTTCTCTCTATCACATTCGCACACAAACACACACAGAGTTTCAGATGGTAACAGCCTGTGTGCGTGCTTATCAATACGTCACTCCGCTCAGTCACACCACACATGCACATTGTGGGAAGAATCTGTACTGTCATTCGCACATTATTCTAAACACACACAAAACTTGCTCCAGCTCTTTCTGTTGTGCGCACACACACACACAGTTTGAATATACACACACATTCAGTAGTCAAGGCAGCATGAGTAACATGGGTCTTCTTGGTAATTTCTCTGCTGCAGAGGAAGTGAGCTCACACGTCATATTTCCACTTTTACCTTTTAGCTGATGCTGTGGTTCAGTGTGTTTACCAAGTTGTGGTGGAAAATGACCTTTCAGTAACAGCAATGTCTGTGAACCACATGTGCCGACCCTGTTTAATGCAATCTGCCAATTAGATTTAGCTTATTCTTGTGTACAAGTGGAAACATGTTGGTACTATAGCAGTGCTCGAAGAAAATTCAGGAGGTTACTAAAATCATTTTGAGTTATTGTTTTTTTTGGACGCAAAAAGTGCAAGGAGCCCATTTAAATGCAAGGAATTCTTTTTTCCAAATGAATTGCATTTTTGACGTGGCGGGTCTTAATCCCCTCACTAGCGCACCCCTACAGAGCAGCCCCTATAATAAGTTTCACAGAGACATGTGAAATCTCGGTGGCTTATGTGCAGATGTACAAAAAAGCATGTTTGAGCGATGCCTTAAGCCCAACAGTACATGTAACATGTAATGGTCATATTTGCCGATTTACAAGCTCCGTACTTTAACAAACTCCTAGAGAATTAATCCGATGAACTTCAAATTTTCGCTGTGCAATGTAAAGAAACTGGTAATGAAACGTTTGTGCCAACTGTGTGTTTTCACTGAGTCATAACGCCACCTACTGGCAATGGGAAGTAAGCACTGTGTCATTGTTTGATATACATGAAATGTTCCACTTCAAACTACAAATTCAGAGCTGCATCCACTGAACGCCGGCGACTGCGGCACGCCCCGGCAAACGTGAAAGAACGAGCAAGCGAACGACGATCACTGCTTGCAGCTTTAATTTGTATAGATTTTTCAAATTGAAGGTTTTACTTTGGGAAATTGAGCAGCTGGTTGACAATTACATCACTTTGTCAGCCTCTCACTTCTATTTGTAGAGTGATATTGTTGAGCACTGAATACAGAAACACAACTGTGGCTCATTTCTGAAAACTGCTGCAGTATTCTGAATCTGATTATTGGTGTCGTGAATCTTTTGTCTGAGCTGTTCTGAATTTATATTCCTGCTGGTAAACCTGCTGCCAGGAACAGTCACCTTAACCCCACCCTCTCCCTCTCTCTGCAGTGACCCGACATTAAACCACCCCAGGAGGAGGCACTCGTCTGGTAACATTTCCACCACCCTGGAGATGCTGCCGGGGCTAGAGGGCTTTCAACTGGATACCTACGGCAGGGTACATAAACATTCAGGCGCACACAGGTAGAGGCTGTTATAATCGGGGAGAACCTATAAATTCATCTCTTTCTCTCTTATGGTCTCAGTCTGTGTCGTATGCCCAGTTCCTGTACCCCACCAATGCCCTAGTGAGGCAGAAGCCGTCGTCGACCAGTAACCTAACGCTGCAGATTCCCATGTCCCGGAGCACACACAGCATGTCTGGCAGGAGCTGCCCACCCAGCAGACTGAGCAGCACCGTGGGACTGGACCTGGGTAATACACACACACACACAGTTTCAAAAGCATTGGTGTCAAACGCCTACATTTGACCGTGTCATCTTGTGATGTCAGGATTTCACCACTCACCTGTCAAGTAAAATTCAGGGCTGATGGTTGTGTCCCCCTGCATTTAGACTTAAGTGACTCAGGAAGTACACACAGAGGGATGTGATTGTGGCTGCTAAAAGAGAGAGAATGAAAATAATAGAAGAAGGATGTAAGAGGAGGAAGAGAAAACAAACACAGGATGGAGGCATGGGATGAGAGAGAGTTGTTGCAGCTGTGCAACACATGTATATGTATGTAAACACTGTGTGTCTCATGCTATCTATAAACACACACACACACACAGTGACAGGGCCCTGTATTAGCCTCTAAACCTCTCTCTCTAATCCGGAGCCTTTCATTAACACAACACAGCTGTGTGTGTGTCGCTGTGTTTTAGAGTTACAAAACATCTGAGTTGGTGCACATGTGTGTACGTAGCAGGTTTAGATATTTAGTCTTCTTGTGACGTACCTCTTCAGGCTCTCATCTCTCAAAGCTGCCGAAATCATATGTTGGATTGTTAACGAGTCACAAAAACATCCAGCCAGTCACTTGTTTTTATTCAGATTTATGAAACTGTGACATCGTCAGCTTCACCAGGAGGTCGGGACTTCTGAGATGCAGCCTTTATTACTGGTACCAGCTGTTGGCCATTAAACAGCTCAGTTAAACCACCTAACTGATTCATCGTTGACTTGTTATAAAAGAGTACGCCGCTGATTTAGCATTACACTTTCATAATATTGTCAGACTTTTGATGGACAGTTTGAAAAAGAAATCGTTGTAGAGGAACCAGAGAAATCATCTTTTTTATTCCACATCCTGCCTTCTTTTTAAAACTGGGAGCCTAAATTACGCCTCACCCACTCACTTAAACCCCCTACTGACAGTGAGAGTAATTACACCGTCGACACCTGTTTACAACATATAGGCTCTGCCATACTGAGTCGCTACTGTCGCTCCCCCTTCAGCTCTGGCTAACCAATCCTTGCTGGCTGTTATAAAACACACCAGTACCAGTTCGCCAGCACCGGAGAGATTTACCTGCCGCTGAGAGGCTTTATGAGCATTGTGTGAAGAAGGGCTTGAATGTCACAGATGTTCATTATATGTAAAAGTCCCTCCCTTATTATATTTTCATTTCCACTGACGTGTGTGTGTTGTCCAGGTGTGGAAGATGTGACAGATTACGATCCTAACATCCTCAATGACCCCCAGTGGCCTTGTGGGAAACACAAGCGGGTGCTGATCTTTGCCTCCTACATGGTAAGAAAAAAAAAAATTATTCTACAATTTGATTATAAGTGACCTAAAATGCTTCTCTTTAATTTTCCATCCACACCTTTAAATTTCGTGTGACAGATGCTTTTAATGCACTCAAAGCACTTTACTGCCATATAGTTGTATTATGCCATTCATATATCTTTTTTGTGCCTGTGCAAATGTAAATTAAATTGTTCTTGAAGGTTTATAAGTAACCATTTATTAACAGGAATCCTGAAGAAACAGTGATCAATCTGATCAGCACATCACAAAGCTAATTTCGGATCAGTAGTAGTTTTGTTTCTGTTATTCATTTCTGGATCTTCATTTTTGTACCGATGAAAATGACCTTTAATCATCCTAATTATATTGTTTGAGTAAAATTACAGTATAATTTTAATTTCCGATGTTCTAAGAAACCGGAATAAAGAAGCAGAATGAAAGAAATGAAGAAACTGAAGGAAGGATAGAGGATTATAGAGCTCTGAGAACAGAAACACACACATACGGCTCTACATCAACATAATTATCCTATAGGCAGCAGCTTAGTTTTATCCCTCCACAAATATATTGACACACGCTCACACACACAGGTTATCAGTGCTGTTTAATCCATCAGAGGAGATTACGGCTGAGGTGGGCTGCTTTGTCACTGAACTCACTGTGTGTGTGTGTGTGTGTTAGCATTACACAGTGTGATCTCACCAACACCACTACAGCGTCAGCTCTCTGATCTAAACTACAGACACTGTAAGAACAGCAAGAGTCAAGACTTGCATCACACACACACACACCATAAACACATTAAATAGGCACGTAAACCTCCCATTTACCACTTGAACACACAATGAGGCCTTGTTTTTCCAGGTTCCAAGACTTACATGTGTGTGATTCGTCATTCAACTGAAGACTGGTTCAGAATTCAGGAGTTTTAATAACATCACTCATACACACAAAGGAAAGCAGTAGATACTACACTAGAGAAATATATCCTCCCTGGGTATTTATATCATGGGGTTCATTTACATTTAATGACCATTGTTTAACTTACAAATGTTTCTGCTTACAATTTAGGTAAAGGGTACTTTGGTATTTTTCATCCTGGACTCTATATTCCCATGTTTTTGTGTCTGTGACTAATTGAGACATTTTTTAGAAATCGGTCCAGTATTGATTCCTTGAGGGCAATTGAGTGCTAGGTAAGTAAAGCGTAAAGTATGTATCCCCTAGAGCGCTTGTTGCCACTGAAAGATTGTTATTACAAGTGTCTGACAACATTATGGAAAGGATCCCTACAACAATAGACATTGTTTTTCAAGAGAAAGATCGTTTTTGTTTAACCAGAAACAATCACTATATTGCTCTTGTCCAATCCACCAGACTCCATGGACAGAAATGCAAATTTTTGTTGTGAATAAGTGTTTTTAAATATTTAAAAACACTAGTTACACAAAAACAAGCTAACCAATCGAGGCAGTGGTAGAACACAAAGGTAAAATTCCTTTTTTGTGTGGGGACTTTGAAGACAGTGATATAGTGACTGTTTATGGCTAAACAATAAGGATCTTAAAAAGTGTCTCTCTGTAGGGATGTTGTCAGACACTTAAAATGATAATATGAGCCTGTCAGTGGCAAAAACAAACACTTTAGTGGACGTACTTTGATGGGGCGCCCACAAGGATTCAGATGCAGACCTGTTTCCTTGCTGACAACTGCAGTGTGCTCGTTCATTACCGGACAAATATCAAAAAAATGTTGTCCCAATTTGTCAAAAACAGTTTTCTTTCTCTTTCATTATATCTTCTCCTTTTGTCTTTTTATCTTCCAGACGACCGTAATAGAATATGTCAAACCGTCCGATCTGAAGAAAGACATGAATGAGACGTTTAAGGAGAAGTTTCCTCACATTAAACTCACCCTCAGCAAGATACGCAGGTAAAGTATTTGAAGTGAATTGACTCACTACATTAAAGTACTTTGCGTGACATGACATGAATATTATGACAGTAAAAGACACTTAATTTCTTTCCAGCTACTGCAAGACTGTCTGCACATGTAAACTACTGTAAAGAATTGTATCATATTAAATCATATTAACTGTCTTTGTCTCCGTCTGTCTGGCAGTCTGAAGAGAGAGATGAGAGTAGTAGGGGAGGATTGCGGCATGCAGCCCGTCACCATCGCAATGGCGTTCGTCTACTTTGAGAAGTTAGTGCTGCAGGGTCGACTCAATAAACAGAACAGGTACTTTCACATCTGATCCTTACAACACAACAGCTGCATGTAGTTTCTGTATTGTTTGATAGCACAATAGGTACACTTTAACGTCATATTGTTCTTTGACACAACATGTTTCCATTAGGCTGTTCTCATAGATTTGATACAAAACTTAATCATTCACACTTGGGCTGGGCAATATGGCCCAAAATGTTATCACCATAAAAACATTTCATACCATTCGATGTCGATAATGATCAAGATAAATGTCCATTCCTTATTTCTTTCAAGTTTAAAGGCAGATTTTTGCTCCTGAGTGAAAATTGAAGGACCAGATGGTTAATTGTGTGGTTAAACTATTCTTTATGGTAAGAATGTGACAAACACTTGATGCCAAACAGTGGGTCACTTAACATATCTGAGGTAGAACATTCAAAACAATTATGATAAAATGTTTTTTCAAAACACATGATTAGTAAATCTTTCTGTTCCTTTTCCTCAACAAAATAAAAACCTAAATAGAAAAATTGCTAATTCGTCAAATTAATTTAATCAAATTTATTGACAATATATTGAACATTTGTTATATTGTTATTGAGAATTGATAAATTATTTTTTTATTGCGCCGCCCTAATTCACACTGAATATTAGAGTTACACGATATGGTAAAGAAATCATATAGCGATTATCTTGACAGGTATTAAGACTTACGAGATTATTCACAATTAGTGGGGATTTGTTTTCATTTTCACTGAAAAAACTATTCATCATGATGGTGTGACAGTTGTTAGGGGTCTGTACCAAACGAATGTGTTTGCTTACATCTAGGGAACCAAATTTGTAAGCCGGGGCATCTCTGTAGCTCTACAGCACTTCATCATAATGTTTTGTCACAAATTTAAACTTCAATTTGGATATTGCACTTGCCCAGTATTTTGATTAATTGTGCAGCCCTACTGAATATGGACAATATTTGACAGTTTAGGTTATGATAGAAAAGAAAAGTAATTCTCACCACAACTAGTCGTAAGAGCGCAATCTGATCGGTAAAAGACTCAGACGTCTTTCCAGGGGTGCAGTTGGAAATGTAAGTTGTACACTATTAACCTCACACACTCTTTACAGTTAGTTTAAAAATGTGTGTGACTTGGTGCAGAGTAATTTCATTGAACTGGAGACTACCATGACAGTACATTTACTCTGCAGAAGAACGTCCTGCTACTTAAACTTTTTTTTTTTTTTTTTTTACAGGAAGTTGGTGTCAGCTGCCTGCATCCTACTGGCTGCTAAGATCAGCAGTGACCTAAAAAAACAGGAGGTCAAACACCTCATTGATGTAAGTCACACACACACAGTATAGGATCATGGTGGTTACCTTTGCCTGTCACGTCAGATCATGTTGCGCTTGCTCAGGTGAAGCTGATCTACCTGAGCAGGTGGAAAACGACCTGCAAGGGTCTCTGTGCTGCAGGACAGTTTGTGTCCGTCACAGTTAACTCACCACTCTCCTCGCACGCAGCCGAGAACATCAAACCTCAACAGTGTTGTTTTCATGAGATCCCAACTGGTGCAGCGGCATGACTAGTGATGTAACAGAAACAATGTTTTACAAATGATGTAGATGTCATTTAGAAACAGTGTCTGCACTACATAGTTTGTCCACCAGAAAACACTGACAAGTTCATTCTTCAACTGAAAACTGTTCCACCTAGTACATATCTACAGTAGATTACAATTCTTCAAGCAACATATTTAAGGGTTACTTATCAAAAAGTTGATTAACTGTTAACATCAAATATCAAGCAAAAACTGTATGCTGTTTCCCTCTTCAACACTGTGAGGATTTCATTGTAAACTTAATATATGGGGGTTTTGGACCATCGTCCAAAACAAGTAATCTGAACATCATGACTTCATGTTGATCTCTTTTTATCCGTCATTTTGTATTACAGAGTGGAGGTTCTTCCCTCACACATGGTATTTGACAGAGTACAACATTTTTCACTACGCTTAGTGCTAACTGAATGTTTTATACACTACTCTTTGCTGATATATTTAGTATTGTTACTTTGTTAATCTGTAAGTTTTGTGAACCTCAGTGTCTGAACGTAATCGCTCAGCGTGCGCACAAATAATGTTTTACATTCACACACGTCTTCACTCGCATATGGCGAGAAATGCTCAGTGTGGAGTCCGACTGTGGTAAAGGAGAGCAGCGCTGCAACACCAGCAGGCTGGACAAAACACAGTTCATTAAGAAAAGATCGAATTTTGTCAGTTTTATTTTAGCAGATACTGAGCTGTTACCTGGATCAGATTAGCTCAGGACAACATCACTACACAAAATCCATGTCAGAAAACAAGATGTTGTTTTGTTGAGTTGTGCCTTTCATCTCTGAGCCATCATAAAGAAGTGGATTTTTAGCATCGACAACACAAAATTAAGCCATACTGCATTAAAAAAAGAACAGAAAATTAAAATAGAAAATATGGCTTGCCAAAGTCGGAATAGAAAGAAATCATTTTGTCTGTCTCTCATCCTTTGGTGTCTGTTGGGTCTCTGCAGAAGCTGGAGGAACGGTTCAGGATCAGCCGGAGGGAACTCATTTCGTTTGAGTTCACCATCCTGGTCGCCCTGGAGATGGCGCTCTACCTCCCTGAGAGTAAAGTCATGCCACATTACAGACGGCTGGTGCAGCAGCAGCAGTCGTAGCAGACACACACACATCGATCGCTCCCTCCAGGGACTCGCTACACCTTCCTGCTCCACACTGTGACGGACGGATCCTCGTGATGCCTGGCTCAGCGAGAATCCTCCTCCTCTCTGCTCACAATGCAGACACCAAAGCTCATCCACACTGTGATGGTAGTACGACGGCAGGCCTGGCAATGCCTGGTTCAGCAGCAGAGCAGCACAGAACGCAACACCTTCTCTTCCTCCCTCAAGCACCAAAGTGACGACACACTGTGATCAAGGGTGTCTGGCTCGACGGCACGGTCAGAATTCCTGGAGGTCAAACTCATCCCCTCAAAATCACGTCTTTCTTAAAGGAAATTTTTTTTTTTACCAAATTTCATTCCTGTCGGATTTAAAAAGGGTTTTCCTCACTATCTCCTTGCAGCAGAGATTTTTGCGATCTGCTGAACACAGCTCTGTAAGGATTGCTGGGTGAAACTTCACAGCTTTAGATCAGTTAATCTGAGTAATTTAGTCCTCCTTGCTAAAACCTCTGTGCTTAGGCAGGTGAGCAGCATATTGACCAAGAAAGATGTGAAATTGACTTCCACACAAAATCTAACCAGAAGTGCCGTTTCCAAAACAGTTTTCAAACTCACTCCCAATCAAAAGGTTTTCTCGAGCGCTTTAGGTCTATTTATTTTAGATTTACCTTAAATTTAAGTCTAACGCTCTAGTCTAAAACTGCTTCGTCAAGTTTGGAGTTCACTGCCGCTGTACCTCTGTGGGCCAAAGTCACTTAGACTGTGATATAATGGCTGAAATAACACTTGTTATTTTGGTTCAAATGTGTTGAGTGAGGTTTGTGCATTTGACAATCATTTTGAAGCATTATACTGCTGACATCCCCATATTTTTCTAGAAACTAAAATTGTGAAATTTTATTTGAGGTGAGAAATTCAGGCCAAGAAAGGAAATCGTTCCAGCACTGTGGTGACAGCAGTTTCCAGTATTTCCTTGTGTATCTTGTCATCTTGCTGGTCTGGTGTCACTGGTCAGACTCTAACTCACATTAATGTCATGAAATCAGCGCTTTTCTGTGTGCAGTCCTGGCGTCATATTCTTCGTTCTCTCTGAACTTCCAGCTGGCTTCTCAATTAATCACACTCGCTCCAATCATTAGTTTATCGAGGAGAAGGATCACTGGTGGCATTTTTCAGCATCATCCCTCTTTACAGTAACACACGTGGAGCTGCAGAAGCTCCGCTGGAGGAGTTTAGATGTTTAAGTGCCTTGGCCTGAGGGCACCTGAAGTGTAGTTGTTCCTGTTGTCTGTCCTTGAATCCGACGATTCAAACCAGCCTTATCTTCACCTCTCCTCTGTATTGGTGTCTGTCTCGCTCTCATGCTGGAGTCCCTCCTCCTTCCTGGTTTGATGTGAATGATCAGCTGCTCACTCTGGTGGTCACAGAGAAGCAGTGCATTCAGATTAGAGTAAAAACAAATGACAGCAACACTGCTGTCGCCTCTGCCGCAGTGAACGCTTCTTGTGACCGCCAAAGGTCTTCTCAAGGAAAAATCGCTGTGGCATCCTGAATAATTTGTTTCCCTCCCCCGTCCTGTTTGCTTCTTTGATGTTGCATAAACACTGCGTCCCACAGCAAGAGTCCATGTCTGCTGTGATCTGCATTTCTATGCTGAGAAATGTCATAACAGGTCAACAAAGCCTGTTCCAAACACTTTTTCAGATGCACCCTGGAAAATGCAGCCTTCTTTTTCCACAAATTTGGGGGACACAACCAGTGTTTCCTTTTGAGGTCTAATATCCCAGAAAGGTGGAAATCATTAAACTATGTTTAACACAACTCAGCTGATGTCACCTCACAGCAGAGGCTGCAAGATTCAGTTGATATAGATACGATTTTTAAATACAGGACAAAAACCTGTCACTTAATAAGACCGTGGTCTAGATGTTTCATTGATGCTACAGTAGAAACGTAAATTAATCAGCATCTGATTGCATCATCATGATAACTAATTAGTAAATTTTTGGGGGCAAAAAATCTGATTACAGCTCCTCAAATGTGGAAGTATCCTGGTCTGTTTGTTATAACCTAAATTTTGGGGGGTTTAAGGCTGCCAGTCGGACAAAACAAACCTAACTTGGGCTTTGAGAAACTGATTACCATTTATCACTTTTTCACTGACATTATATCGACCGAACAATTACTTTCACCATGGATTAATCTGTTGTTTTTTTCCCTCTCTAGTTAATGCTCATCACTTTCATTTTTAGCTGATTTTCATTCATGCCCCGGGTGGAGACATGAAAAACAATGACAGCTGTAAAACAAATGGGTGAAAACCCTGAAAGAGACACCAGCTCACACACGGTACAGACAGGTTGGTGCCGACGCTGAAGCTTCTTAAAGGTGACTGCAAACTGCATCTCATTTTACAACCCTGATGAGAAACTGACCTTGTAAAGTCATCATTGTGCAGATGTGGTGTCCGAACAGACTTCCTCATCCTGTCTGAACTGTGAACATCAACTACCAAAAAGGCCGTTCTGTTAGTGAACTACCCTAGAAAAACTACTTTTCACTCATATTATTTATTCTGTTTTTACTGTATCATAAAGGGACTAATATTTACCCAAACAGAGGCTTTAACAGGATGTCTGTACCTGTTTTGTTCCCCCGTGTTGCAGCAGTAAAGAACTGGTGTTAGGAAACAGTGTGTAATTTTATCTGCTTTACCCACAAACATGAAGTGGGTGTGTTCTTTTAAAAGTGGTTACCACTTGTGACAACTGCAGGAACACTCCCTGTAGAGCCTCTGTTGTTTTTGCACTTTGCCTTTTTGCTTCACAATCCTGAATCTTTGTTATAACTAAGTAACAATGGTAATAATATTTTTCTATTTTAAATATGTTATTGTATTGCTGTATATTGAAAAGTGACCAAGTCACTGAAAATTATTTATTGCTAATAATCCTCCAGATGAGGGATCATGTTTTAAACAGAGCTGCGATTGTGAACCTGCAGACGACAAATCACCAGATTATTCAGTTAAAAAACTATTTTGGCAAATGTTTTGACTTAAAATAAGATTCCTCATCTTGAGGTTTCATATCAATGTTCTTCCACTGATGTTGACTGTTGTTTTTTGGAGTGTGGGTTCATCTGCACGTGAATGTTTGAGCAGCAGATTAACAAGTCGCATTTGGACTAACAAAAAGAAACCGATGACGTGGTTTAGGACTCCCTGAGGAATAATCTATAGATCAGGCTTCTGATATATAACACTCGTTAGGATTATTTCATTGTTGGTTTTGGTCTTTCCATGGGATTGAATGACAATAAGAACAATACTGAATATTTGCAAACTCAACCTTTTGAAGGACCATATCAGTGATTTTTCATGTTTAGCCTATTCAGTCTGCACTAAAACTGTGCATGTTACAATGCAGACTAAACCTGCAACACATAGCTGCACGGATTAGTCGATTTGCAGAAAAGATTCTCAAATGTGAGAATTTTATTAGGACAAATTAAAACAGGCATTTTTCACTATTGTCTGAAATTGTATTCGTAAAATAATTATTAGCCAATACATAATAAGATAAGAATTCATTGCAGCCTTAATGCAGACTTGAGTTTTACTTTTCTGCTCCCTAACTTTTGTACTGTACTGGTGGTTAATAAAACCACTGGCTGCCTGAAAGATAAGAGAAGCATTGAAAACACCTAAGTTTTACAACATCATACAACATTTTTTAAAGATTTGGTTTCAGTTTTCTCTCTCCTGCTCTAACGAAGAAGAATCCACACTCCAGTCTGCACTGAGACACTTCAGAGCGGAGATGTATGTTTGAACTGTTATCTTTGTGAAATGTATAAAAGGGAAAAGTTAACATCGACGCTTCCTTTAGTTAAGTTGATGAAATATGAAAGACGTTAAAAGAAGCACTACGACAAACGATAGAGCAGAAACGGCACACAATCTTCCAAAGTCGTCTTCTCTACATTAGAGATTTGTGAAATTGATTCTATGCAGTTTTTATTCTGTCAGCTGACCTTCATCCTCCTCCTCTTCCTCCTCAGTGTGTTTACTTTTAATGTGCCACAGCATTTCACCTTTTATTTAAACCTCACATGTTGTATTTACTTTGTTTTGTATCGAGTAATTGTTTTTATTCTTTGAGCACTGTAAGTCTGTAAAGGGAAATATTTACCAAGTGTTTGTCTTCCATTTATATTATTGTTTTTACATTTTAAGTTAAATAAGGTTTTTTTATTGTTTGTCTTTTTTTTTTTTTTTTGGACGAGCTATGCAGCAATTTAGCAGCGTTGCAATCATGACACCACAGGAAGTTTATGCGTGAAAATATTATTTATGTTTTGTTGTTGCCACCTTTTCACGTCATGTGTAGTGATACAGATGAGAAAAGAAACAGAGGTTAAAGGACTTTGACTTGTGACAAGAGTTGATATTTTTGCAAGCTGAAGTTTATCAACCTGCTTGCAGACACTTGCACTGCAGGACAGTTTGGTATTCAACACCAAATGGGACATGAGTGGATGAAAATATTTATAAAATATTTTGTAAAAGATAAAAGACCATATACTGTTTAAACTGCCAATATTCAATTCATGTCAAGTTTATTTTCAATAAAAATATCTAAATTACTGCTTCTGTTCTGATTCAATCTTTTACCAAAGTGATATTCTGTTGCTTCAGGTTGGGGAATAAAGTGACAGGAAGTTTGTTATTCAAGTGAATATTTGTTATAAATATCGAGTCAGTATATTCCTGTGGAAATTCAGTATCAAAGAATAAGAAATTGTACATTATTCTCACGGTGACTAGATTAACGACTGAAATAAGACAACTAAAGGCATTGAGTATTGAACTGCTCAGCAGTTAGTTGCTGTCTGGTGTCACAACATTTTCAGTCACACTGTAATATATAACTTAAGATCTAAACATCCAATGACTAAAGTCCTTCATCCAGTTAAAATCGACCAAGATCATATGATATCTACATAGTGATATACAGCTACATTTATTTTGACCTTATATTTATTCCACACATCACCACATGAGGACTAACCCTAACCCTTGACCGAGGATGCTGTACCGTTGGATCCACCTGAGTGCAGGTGAGGTTTATTTGTCCCATTCAGTCTGAAAGAAAACAAACACATAAGTTTACTGAGTATCTTTGTTTTAGTGCAGAACTTAAAGTTTGTTAAAGGCCACAATCTTCTCTCTATTCTGCCACTGCAAAAAAATTATTTTAATTTAATTAATAATTTTACTAAATTAATTCTATTCACATTGTTTGCTGAAACCAAAGCTAAAATCCTGCTACAGTTTTTACTTACTTTCTTCTGAGATCTGGCTGCAGTGGAACGTGTGAACTGTAGATATTTCTACAGGAGGAGATCTGCTCTGTCTGTCCTCCTCTCTGATCTCCTCAGACACTCGACTAGGCTGCAGGAAGAGACGAGAGGTTTAGTTTGTATCAATATCAGCTGGTTTCACAGACACTGATGAGACTGAGATTTCCCAAACTCACCTCTAAGACATTAGCATACTCAGTTTCCACAAGAGGTCCTGAAAAACATGCAGTTCAGAAGATTAGGTCCACTGTGAAAATATCTGGCTGAGTCAAAGACACACACATCCACTTTCAACCACAAAGTTCCAGTAATTAACAAGAACTAAACTAGGAACTAAAAGTCCCTTTGTGTTCCCACCACATCTGAAGAACTACAAAGTTCTTTCAAAGGTAACATCCGATTACACATGATATGTTAACAAAACAAAGTTTATTATTTCGGAGAATATCTGTTCTACAATTTCTTGGGTGAGAGAAAGGTTTTAGATGTCCACTGTGCTTTGTTATGTGTGTGTGTTTCCTGTAGCCTCACCTTTGGGTTTACTGGTCCTCTTCCTGCACAATATCAACAAAGCCGAAGATGTTACGATGATCAGGACGACCAGAATCAGACGCACATACAGCTGTGAACCTGTGGCTGTTTGAGCAGGAGAACACGTTTTATTTACATTGACACTTCCTGATTCATTACATAAATATTTCTGGGAGCATAACTGGACTCCCAGGAACATGTGGGATATGAGTTCATGCAGTGTTGTCAAACTAATATCAACTAAATATTTAAGCTATTAAATCAATACTGATAACTAAAAATTATTCAAGTTCTGTTCATACAAGCACACCCCTTCATGTACTTGCCCATATAAGGACTATCCGCAAAACACATGAAGGCATTCTTTAAATATACAAGTCAAAAGGGTGTTTTTAATGACATAATTCTTAATAAGTAATTCTCACTAGTAAAACTGATCTAACCAAACTGTCTACAAACAGACTTTGTCAGGAAAGAAAAAACAAACCAGTAATCCTCTTGAGCTCATGATTTGTGGTCTTTCAACAGAAAAAGTTTCAGTGGTTCTACAGCTCTTTTTGAATGACAAATGGACCTGTTGTCTGTTGCTGCTGAGTCTGCTTGGTGACTTCAGGAGAGGCTGATGAAGGTGTGGAGCGTCCTGAGCCTAAACTCTGTGTTGTCGTCAGTGTGGAGGCTGATGGGACTGATGTTGAAAGAGGTCTGGGAGTCCAGTTTGGTTTAGAAGTGGTTGGAGCTGTGAAACATGAATAACAGAATGTAACAATCAGATCCTGATTGTTCAGATACAAAGAAATCCTGATGCTGATCAGTTAAAACAACACAAATCCTCTGCAAACAGTCAATGTTTCAATGTCTCTTTAATCACACAGCCACATGCAGCAGGTAATCACCGTGTTTGGTGAAACAATATTCCAACCAACTGTAGTGTGTTCATTTGTGTGACAGTTTGAGATCATCAGATATTTTACATGAACTGTTGGTGTTACAGGAGCATCTTTCAGTGTTCACAATGATGAAAATATGCAGCTGTAAATATAATTGATAAACATCAGCAACTGTCAGTGAACAGCTCATTTCATGTCTCTCAGAAACTCACCATCTTCAACTCTGATGTCAAACTCCTCATATGACACTGGATGAAAAAATCTGTCCAATCTACATCTGTACCGTCCTGAGTCAGACTTGGTCAGATTTGTGATGATCACAAACAGAAGTGTGGAAGATACTGGATAAGTTCCTTTTTTATATTCAATGCTGTATCTGCCACTCTGAGCTCTGTTACCAGCTGTTTCAACGAGGATGTCTTGTTCTTCACATTCTTCCTTACAGAAGATCTTCCTTCTTCCAGAGAAAGTGAAGAAACATGTACGTGTGAGGTTTCCTCCCTCCTTTACGAGGATTTCTGCATTGATGAGACCAGTGTTTCCATCCTGCAGTGCTGTTGAAAAGGTGAACAATCAATAGTTACTATTTTCCTGACACGACAGTCTGATAATTAACAAATCTGTAGAGTTACTCTGAGAGCTGCCCAGTTAAACCAGTCGAACCGCAATTTGATTCAGTTGTGATTCTGGGGCGCCCCCTTAGCTCCCCTGGTAGAGCTCATTCCATGTACTAAGGCTGAGTCCTCACCACACCGTGTACCCTTTGCTGCATGTCACCCCTTTTCTATCTGCCGCCTTTCCTGTCTTTCTTCAGCTGTCACTATTGTTCAGTCCCACATTGTGTTCCAGTTAGCTGATTTCTGTTTTGGGGGGGGTTAATTTGTTTTGTACTGACCAATCAGCGTTGAGTGACATATCTGTCCTGCTGACCTAAAAAACTATTGTATAAAATATTTTAACAAGAATAAAATTAGATTTGTGTGTTTAGTTGTTTGATCAGTCATTTCTCATGTAAAAATGACATTGCTGGTTGCCTTTCTGCATGTGGTATAAATGAGGTTTTGGTGAGTTGCTTAAAATATCCACAGCTCATGGTCAACAAGGCTGCAGTTCCTCCTCTTGAGCTGGTTCAAATAAATTCATTAAAAGTAATGGTTTTCTCTCTTCAGCTCTAAGAAGGTTAAGTGGTTTTAAAAAACTGCAAGATACCAGAAGTAAAAGGCATTCTAGCTCTGAAAATGTTGATAGAGGATTATTTTGGAAGCAAATTAACATGTTGACACATGACAGAGAAAAATTGATCAAGACTGAAATGAGATGTGAAGAAACACAATAAAGATGATATCATGGTAAAGAGAGACTGACATTAAAAAAAAAAAAAACAGCGTGTACTCACTGAGGAAGGCGAAGCAGATCAAAGTGCGATGAACTTTCATGTTGGAGGCTCTGATGAGTTAATGCTGGTTTAAACCAGGAACTTCCCTCTTCTTCAAAAAA